CGGCTCGGGGCGAGGGTGTGGAGCTTGCGTGTCTCTCGCGTGTAGGGTTTGGCATTTGCAGCTGCATCGTGAGTCTTTTAATACTGTACCCCTCCCAATTTGACTGGCTTATTCTCTTTGGACTCGACGAAATTTACCACTCTCTTTATATTAAAAGACCTTAGTATATTGTCATGGAGGTTCGTGCCCTGCTTACTCTATTCACCCCGCTCTCCACACGAATCGATCATAATCTAACTCCACCAGGAAACAAAGCTGGACTGGAATGACTCCACAGATGTCCTTCAAGGCATCATGGTTGGACACGAGGGACATGATCTGTCCGATCCTAAATCCTCAAATCTCCCTTTTGATGCCACAAACCCACTACTAGACCTCCAACTCGGATCGCTCGATCCAACACTTAACCATCCACTCCTAAGCCAATGGGCTTCACACCCCCGAGACCTATATTATTCCCAATACACTCACTCCCGCCTGACAGGCGACCAAGATGCCTGGAATCCGCTGCTGGCCACCGGTGTCCCGGCCACGTCCATCTCGCATATGAACATGCCTGCCCAGATGCCCGACCAGGACTGCTGCTTCTCACATCACTACAGTGAGCCCTCTGAGGACGGGAGTCAGTATATTGATAGCTATCACTCTACTGATTCCGGGTATGGTGGGACCAGCTGTACAACGCAATCCGTTGTTGCTTCGTACAGCGTGGATTCCTCGAGCCCGCAGATCGACATGACAGATAATATGTCCACCGAGTCGGGGCCTTCGTTTGATCATCCCAAGTATGGGTCTGTGTCTGGGCCATCGTACACATCGGAATTTGTGGGCTCTCCGCAGCAGTTGGTTGATGCCTCGATGCGATGCGAGCATCCATCGTGCAAGTGGGTGGGGAAATGCCCTTCAGACAAAAGGTACGTCTTTGTAGGTGTGATTTGAGCATTGTAATAGCAGGAAATTGACTTCCACAGGAAACACGAGGCTCGTCACAAGAAACTCTTCAAATGCGACGTGCCCAACTGCCCACGGAAGGACGGATTTGGCACCATTAACGATCTTGCCCGTCATAAGAAATGCGTTCACAATAAAGAGCCCGAGCGTGGGCCCAAGATGATGTACATGTGTTTCGGGACAAACTGCCCACGCCCGAATAAGAGGTGGCCGCGCCTGGATAACTTCAAGCAACATCTGAACCGCATGCATCATGAAGAGGATGGGGATGTACTCCTGAAAAAGTGAGTTCAAAATGAAACATGCAATGTTCCAATCATTAATTCATGAACAGGTCTATGGATTGGTATGAAAAAGTCATCCTCCGACAACCCGAACAGAACTTCGACGGGCGTAGCTCAAGAGATGAGTCGGTATTAGAAGCGGAAGACGGGGCGTCAGTCCAGTCAACCGCTGATCTCGAGCAGGAATACAGCTCAATGTCTCAGCAGAGGACTGATATTTTCACGTTTGGTGCTGCCACGCCGAGACCTCCTCAGCATGGTGTGCCGTCTCTTGCAGACTCAACATCACAATTCCCCGCTTTGGGCTCCTTGGGTCTGGCAAAGAGCCAAGATCCATCCGCTGAACGCGGTATCACGAGGCCGGATGGATCGCTTGCAGACGCAGCTGATAACTTGATCAACGCTATGACGAAAATGATGAACAACCGCGGGCGGAGATCAAGTCAGAATATTGACGAGGGGATCGACATTGAAACCGACGCTGCTCAGCTCTCCCAGCCCCAGCGGCAAATGCTACAGAGGGTCCTTTCGGTGGCCTTGGAACGATTATCCGACGACAATGAAGCCACCGTACAAAACCCTGATACCGAAAAAAGTGGCTGGTTCCAATGTGACGCGTGCCCAAAGCGGACCCGGCTTCGCTGTGAGATGAAGTAAGCCACCCCTGACTCTTCCATATTATTATCCGGGTATTAACCACAGACGTCATCAGGAAGCACCAGAAGCGTCACGAACGACCTTACGGCTGTACATTCCCCCATTGCGCCAAATCGTTTGGCAGCAAAGCCGACTGGAAGCGCCACGAGAGCTCCCAGCATCTCGGTGTGCCAAGTTGGTTCTGCACAGAACACGATGCGCAAACAGGCGCCTCATGCGAGCGGCTATTCTATCGACCCGACACATATACCCATCACCTGCGCCAGCATGGGATTCATGAATGTCACCTCGCCGCTTCGGCTGGCAATAACCGGCTCGATCTGGCCGGCCAGACACATTTCTGGTGCGGGTTCTGCAACCAGAGAGTCCCACTAAAGAACCATGGCCCTGAGGCCTTAGATGAGAGGTTCAATCATATTGACATCGAGCATTTCAAGAAAGGCGAGAGGGGCCAAGACTGGCGGTTCCCGTCTTCATCGCTCGAGGGAGACGAGATGGATCAGACCAAGGATGTTGCAGTACAGAGGGTTGGACACAGTCGGAAGGCTGCAACTACTGGCGAGCGGAAGCGCAAGTACACTGCTGCATGACATGTCAGGGTTCTTGAATCCTGGTTCCGTAATATAATAAGAATATTCTGCAATGTTTGGTTTATGGGATCATCAAGACAATGTATCCCCAAGTCTGAAAGTGCCATAGCATTATTCAAAGCCACAATACAATATGGTGCTGAGCATCAATAAAACACAGTATGGTACAGATTTTCTCAAGATATTTCTCAAGATCGGGTTCATTTCTGGGTGCTAGTAATCTCCCGGGCCTCTTTCTCTAGCACGGCCACTTGCTCTGCGGGAGGGGTGAGCGACATGTATGATGGGGTAATGCATTGATTTTATTAGGTCTTACTATTCTTAGCCACCTTGATCTCATCCATCTCCAACTTCAACCAGGTCCAATAAAGGACTTGATAGACGAACACGCCCCCCAAGAAGACCTTGGCGAAGGGACCAGTGAAGGTTCGATATTGGTTCATCTGGACAGAAAATCAGAAAACTGCAATTTAATATTGCGGTGCTGTTAAAGAAAAAGAAAACATATACGTACCCCTTCCTTGTACGCACTTGGCTTCTGTGTTGAGTTGAATATGGCTTGTGTGGAGGTGAAGGTGCGTCGGCTCATGGGAGCTCGAGCAGACTGAGAAAACACCACAGCCGACATAAACCGACGAGCTGGCTGCGAAAGCATATTGTGATTTCAAGAGTTGCTTTCTTTCTCGTTGATACCCGAGGAGACTAGCCAGGGTGATGTTGAAGTTCGCGTTCCATTTCGGGGTTAGCGGTCTTGGCATATATTCCTCAGGTGTCAATTTATTACACTGGTGCTTATATCAAGAACCCTTTTTTCTTGCTTTTTCTTCCCCATCCAACTCCGATTTCTTCTAGGGTTTTGTCAATTAGCGTTTTGGAAGTCGGCGCTGTGAGCGTGGCTGTGGATGTTGCGAAAAACGCGAGTCTACTCCTGGAGGAAATATGGGAGTCGGGCACTGCACCACTGGGTGTGGGTGCTGCTCCAACTTTCGAGGATGTGAGCTCACTAAAACAGAGATGGGCGATATTAGGCGTGCGCTGCGGGCGACTCTCAAGTATTCGGATAGGGCATATCTTCTCACATTGTCACGCGCTTATTTGTTAAGGGAGGAGAAGGTCAATCCTGCTGACTCGGCGCCGAAGTCGTCCAAATGGAGTAAAATCACGGGAAGGAAGTAGATACTCGTGGAAAGATGCTATTGGCACTATTGCTTAGGTTTGGAGATTCAACGGTTGAGCTGTATAGTACATATAGTCAACCGAATCCATTGCAATTATACAAATTATTATCCTTCTAGGGAGAAGAGAAGTAGTATTTGATGTCACGATGGCAACGAAACGCAAAGAGGCCTTGTCAAGGTAGATATTGGAGAGTCTCTATGGCTTTCATCGGTGCTGTAGTGAGACATGGGTGAAATGATATCGATATGAATGTCATTATATCAAAGTAGGAGATCAAGAATAAGCCAAATTGCATCAGAAAGACGGCATTATATTCTTAATTGGCTTAATAAATGGGCGTGCTAGATGAGTAGTATGTCCACCTAGGTGTAGATCTACCTAGGTAGGTAGGTATATTGTAGGCAGCACCTGGGCACGAGCCACTGCTGAGTCAGCGGCACATGATATCAGGTCCGGTCCAAAGCGTCGCAGAAAAAAAAGACAACGCAAAGGAAAAACCAAAGGGCCCTATTCTCGTCTTCTTCATGTCCCATATTGCCCTCTGACACCTCCTGTCATCATTGTATCATGTCATTCCCCACGCATCCATCGATCCTGAATGTGCCGTATTGGGACATCAAAATGGTCGAAATAATCCATTCAGCTAATTCAGGAGGAGAATGGAGTACTACAATAGCTCGATTCATGGGGGCTTGATTCATGGGCTAAAGGGTGACAATGGCTATTGAAGCAATTCCCATTGGGAGAGGGTGGCACGTGCGCTTTATTGACTAATTCATGCGCCACAATAAGTGGCTAATACATTCAGGCAGTCAGCCCCAATGAGCGCGAGCCCTTCCGCCCTTCTTCCCTGAAGTCTTTGTCACTCGAGTTCCCATCGTCTTCTACTTTCTTTTACTTTCAACAATTCTTCCCGTCTACTGCGCATTTGACCTGGTGGCTGACAGCTTTCCAACACTTTTGTTTTCCCACGCGTTCCCGAGTCCGTGAGACCCTTCCACCTCTGCCCCAATTGCGCTCCACCACCGTGCCGTCTCCGCTAACATATTGATCAGCAATTGTCGGGAAGAAAGTATCAAGGTTGCTGCTGTGACAGGCATATTCTTTCCCATTGATCGAGTGGTCCAGCTGTTGCTGGCGACAACTGAACCATTCGTAAGTGTTGTCCTCCTGCCCACATCGCGCAACGTCAACGATCCGCCTTTTTACATCTTTGTATCTTCCTTGTTATGTGGGCCCTTGGCCCCCTTGACTGTGTATCCATTGTACTTTCTTAATTGCGGCGGTTTGTGCTGACTTTGCGGTTTCAAAGTGATCCCCTAATCACCAAAACTACACCATGGCTCGTGGCGCAAAGCGTACCCTGGACGAGGTCGCCAACAAGTCCGACTCCGACGACGAGGACTATAGCGACCACGCTCACTATTCGCGTTCGACCGGCCGGAAGTCGAAGGCCAGCCCCAAGAAAAAGTCGCGGCCGGCCCCAAAGAAGAGACGGCGCAGCTCGGACGACGCCATCACCTCGGACGAGGAAGACCTGTCCGAGGATTTCGACTTCGATGAGGTGGAAGAAGAATTGGAGGAGGAAGTTGAACGCAATGTTAGAGGAACGGCTCGTCGACGAACCACCCAGAGCCGTCGCCCGCACTATGAGGAACCCGATTCGGAAGACGAGCTGCTCAACGATGATGGTGAGGATGAGGCTCGAGCTTCTCCTCCACGCAAGAGCACCGTCCTCAAGTTGAAACTCCCGCCAATTACTTGGCCTTCTCCAAACGTGTAACCCGCCGTACCCGTGACGCTTCCGAGGATATCTACGCCCTTACCAACTCTGGTCGTCACGTACACACTGTTGAGCGAGGCACACATACTCCGGAAGCCGAGATTCCATCCCCGTCTCGACGCTTTGCCAGAGCCGACCGCATGGCCAAGCGCACGATCATTGATGAAGAGGATGAAGACGCCGAGGGACACGAGGATGACGAGGATGTCATCAACGAAACGACTATCCAGGGCTCGCAAATGGAGGAATTGGAAAGTGACGTGCCTCAGGGCGGCGCTAAAGGTGATACATTGCCAGTGAATGATGGAGACCACGACCCAGTTGATGAAGAAATGCCGGATGAAGACGTTGTCCCTGAATCAGAAAATGGCGATGCGAAGAACGATCATTCCGAAAACACAGATGAACTCCCAACAACTCGGCGACGAGGCAGGCTCTCCCACGAGCAACCTCTCGAGGAGAATGCCGCGCAAGACGCTGAGACGAATGAAGAATCGCAGCTACGTCGATCCAGCCGTAAGCAGCCGTCTCGAAGCTCACAGCGCAAAGCCAAAGATGAAGAAAGTGATTTCGAGCCAGAGGAGCCATCGAATGATGAGGAGGAAGAATCGGAGCCTGAATCGCGTGCCTCTCCTCGTAAAGAAAGTCAAGCTCGCGAGGAAGCCGAGGATAGCTCTGCCAGTCGGCGCCCTGGCCTGCGTCAACGGCCTTCGCGGACCCGTGCACCCACAGAAGAGGCAGAAGAACTCGCCGAAGAATTGGAAGACCTTACTGGCCGTACCCGTCGCCGTGCGAAACAAGCGGTCGTGTACGAGAAACCGCGTCGCAACCGAAAGAATGTTGATTATCGTATCATTCGACCTGAAATGCTTCAGCCTAATGAAGATACCGACAATGAAGTGATCGGGTCTCCATCCCGACGTGGCCGTGGAGGAGGAGGCTGGCAACGCACTTTGTTCTCCACTTTAGGCCCATTCGGTGGCGGTGGTAATTCAGCAATTCTCGGTGTTCCTGGTGGCCCTACTGCAGTCGGAGGGGCGGACAGCGACAGCAGTGACGACGAATGTGTCCAACAGCCAAACCGTGCTCCTGGTGTTGGAGTTGCGGTCACACACAACCAGTCGGCTGATCCTGCTCAGAACTCGGCCGGCACGCCTGCAAACCTTGGCAAATTCAACAACAAGCAGGCTTTGGCTGATGCGGATCCTCTGGGGGTTGACATGAATGTCAATTTTGACCATGTTGGTGGTCTGCAAGGGCACATTGACCAGCTGAAAGAAATGGTTTCTTTGCCGCTTCTGTACCCAGAAATCTTCCAGCGTTTCAAAATTACTCCTCCTCGCGGTGTTTTATTCCATGGTCCTCCTGGCACCGGAAAGACGCTCATGGCTCGGGCTTTAGCCAACAGCGTCAGCTCAGAAGGACGCAAGGTCACATTCTACATGAGAAAGGGCGCGGATGCATTGAGCAAATGGGTCGGTGAGGCTGAGCGACAACTTCGACTTCTTTTCGAAGAAGCTCGCAAGAACCAGCCCAGTATCATCTTCTTTGATGAAATTGACGGTAAGAGAGGCCTTTTAAGCACATGGTTGACAATTGCTAATCTTCTATATCAGGTTTGGCCCCCGTGCGATCGAGCAAACAAGAACAAATTCATGCCTCGATTGTCTCGACACTACTTGCTTTGATGGACGGCATGGATGGTCGTGGTCAAGTGGTTGTCATCGGTGCTACCAATCGACCTGACTCTGTTGATCCTGCTCTTCGCCGGCCTGGTCGTTTTGACCGTGAATTTTATTTTTCATTGCCTAATATCGAGGCACGTCGTGCTATTCTCGATATTCACACCAAGGAATGGGATCCTCCTCTCCCAGACAACATCAAAGACGAACTGGCGGACATGACCAAGGGCTATGGCGGTGCTGACTTACGAGCGCTTTGCACTGAGGCTGCAATCAATGCTGTACAAAGAAGATACCCCCAAATCTACAAATCAGACCAAAAGCTCGTGATTGATCCAAAGACAATCGATGTCGCCCCGAAAGATTTCATGCTGGCAATCAAGAAGATGGTGCCCTCTTCAGAGCGGTCTACCTCATCTGGTGCGACTGCCCTCCCTCCGAACATTGAACCTCTACTTCGTCATCCATTGTCCGAAATCAAATCTTTGCTGTCCGAGATCCTTCCACAGCGGAAGAAACTTACTGCTCTCGAAGAGGCTCAATATGAAGAGCCTGATGATGGTGGAGGCTTCAGCCGAGAGCTCCTTTTGCAGGAGTTTGATCGCTCGCGTGTTTTCCGGCCCCGACTGCTCCTTCGGGGCCCCCATGGTATGGGCCAGCAATACCTCGCGGCCGCGTTACTGCATGTGTTTGAGGGCCTGCATGTGCAGGCCTTCGATCTCCCCACTCTGCTAAGTGACTCAACCCGCTCCCCAGAGGCAGCTGTCATCCAACTATTCACGGAGGTCAAGCGACACAAGCCGAGTGTGATTTACATCCCAAACATTCAGCTGTGGTTCCAGACCGTGGGACCTACCGTCATTTCTACCTTCATGGGTCTTTTGCGGTCGGTGCCACCTTCTGATCCAGTTCTTTTGCTTGGTATTCTTGAATCACAAGAAGAGGAAGTGGATGAGGGTCTACTGAAGAATATGTTCGGGTTTTCCAAGAAGAACCTGTTTGATCTATCTGCTCCAAATCATGACGCGCGTCGCGAATTCTTTGGCAAGATCATTGAATTCGTGAAGACTCCTCCGAAAGGATTCCCGAACCCAGAAAATCGCAAACTTCGTCAGCTGGAACAATTGGAAGTCGCGCCACCTCCGCCTCCCAAGCCTGAGGCAGAACTCACCAAGGAGGAGATCAAGGCTCAGAGGAAGAAGGATTACATATCCTTGAACCTTTTGAAAACCCGAATTCAACCTATCATGGATCAGGTCAAGAGGTATAAGCGTTTCAGAACGGGCGTGATCGATGAATCTCAAATCCGATACTTGTGGGAGGAAGAAAACCCCAACATTGTTACCAGTGATCTTCCCCCGGATCAACAAAATACCTACCGGCCTTATGAGAAAGCATACGACAAACATGGTGTGTTGGGTCTCCGTGAAACTGCCACCGGGAAGTTCTACTACAACCTGGAGATTGTGACAATTGAAAAACGCCTTGCAAACGGATACTACAAACGCGCCGTCGACTTCGTGGCGGATATCAAGCGAATGGTCAAAGATGCTCGTCAGACTGGTGACCCGGAACGCATCCTGCGATCAAGTGAGCTTTTGACTAATGTCGAAGTTGATATTGCCGGTGTTATGGTAGCCGAACCAGCTCTTATGGCAGAATGTGAACAGGTCTATCTGCGTGAGATGGCACGCGAAAAGGAGGCCGCGGAGCGTGAGAAACGTGCGCAGGTGGAGAACGCAGCTCCCATTTCTGAGCCTACCAATGTGCCGCACGACAACACTGAATCAGGCTTATCGACTGGCCCAGTTCAACACGGCGAAGTGTTCGCCGACAATGGGGATGATAAAAAAGCCGCTTCGCGCCCCGTGACTCCTACATCCCAGTTCAAGAGTTTCCGCAATGGAGATCATTACGGGGGTGGTTCGGATCTAAACGAGTTTGGTTCCCATGCTGTCGGCGCGAGCAATGGCACCCATGGAGATGGAGACGGTGACATTTTCATGTCCAATTCTGAGGATCACTCGGGTAGCAAGGATACACAGGGAAGCTCATTCGGGCCATCTGCACAGCCCAAGCCTCCTTATTCCCACACTGCACCTTCTCAGCAGATTCGTCGAGAATCCGGTCTTTCCAGCTTTTCTCAGCGAGGCCCCATGACTCCAATGGCCCCGGGATCTCAGCCAGCTGATTACACCAATGAGGCATCCACTACTCAGACGACGTCTGATAAGAAGTCCTCTGAACATTTGTCGAATCAAAACTACCACACTCAAAGCCCTCATGTCTCAAGAACTGAATATCCCGACCTTACTCCATACCCCGATCGCGTGTCGCAGGAAGACCACCTGCCCGACACCCAGCAAAACGACAGCAGCCAGCCTTCTCCCCATCCCCGGGACTCACTGCTTAGCAATGCAGACACCCAGGAGAACAGTGGTTTGAATGGAAGCCAGTCGCAGTCGAAGCCACAACCCCCGCTGTTCGATGCACCCAACATGCCAGCAACGAGTGCTTCGGCTAACTTGCAATCGATTCTGAACGAAGGACCCCATGAGCCATTCGTCCTCGATCTTGAGGTTGTTGAGCGTCTGCACACGCAACTAACCCTGTCAACCAGTGGATTTTCAGTGGAGCAGCTGGAGCAAATCAACACCAATTTGATGGACTATGTGTGGCACATGCGTGGAGAATGGAACCGTACTCGTGTCGCCGATGGTCTCGGTAAAACATACAATGCAGTCCTGGAAGACATGCAGGAGATGCAGGAGATCGGGCCCATCAGCCAACAGACCAAGGATATCTTGGCCAACCTGAGTTTCCAGTGAGAGCTGTGTGATGGGTATTCTGTACTTTCACCCTTTCTTTTCTTTTTTCTTTTCCCTTTTCTTACTTTGTCAATATGTTGACTCGGTTCATATTCCCCTTTGATCTGGCGATGGTTTTTCTTTGTGGCGGGATGGATAGGAGGAGCAAATGTGTCAATTACCCAATTTTCTTAATTGTTCATGCAAAAACTAGTTTCAGCGGGTTATTTTGACATGGGAAATGTATGTAGACTATGAGAATAATGGTCTTAAAATATGTTCTCTTCATAATTGTAACTCTTATAAGACAACAAGACAACATAGTTAACCTGTCGATGTATACACTTTTATATACTTGAGAGTGAACATGTGACGTGACCCACTAAACACCCTGGCCTTTCGAGACACATTTCGCACTTCAAGGCCCTTTCTTCATTTCAACCTTCACACTAGTAATGACAGCTTGACCATCTCTATCTCTTCTTTCCCGGACCTTCAATCCCTCCTCCCTCCATATACTGCCCTAAAAACCACATCGCCGCAATGTTCGACGTGGACTGGCTCAGTCTTGCCGTCCCAATCGCCTACCTAGGCATTCTCTTGGGATCACTTGCCACATTCTCCTCCCTCTACCGCAAGCGCAAGGCCCGTATGTGAAAATCCCTAGGAAGCCCCAACCTCTCCAACATCCGACCCTTTCGCGCGATGTGTCCAGTTGTCCTAAGAAGCTAATATCTGATTCCTGCGTTATTCTAGACAAGGCAGCATCTCTAGAGCCATGGTTCCCTGCCCACCTGCAGCGCGACATCTACTTTTCTCTCCTCCACCTTGAACCCTCAACAACTTCCACAAAAGAGAAGAAGGCCCCTGCCGTCCCCGACTCTATCTTCAAGGCTTCTCTTCTCCGCCGCGCAGCTGAAGACATCCGTCGTATCATGGCCCTGCGCAGCCAGAAGCAAGCTCTCACAACGCTCGTCCAACGTGGTAGTGTCGGTGATGATCTCTGGCAGCGATTCCAGCGCGCGGAAAAGGAGATGGAAGATGAGGTCAAGGACGTGGTTACAGAGGTATGATAAGACTCCGTTGCCTGGCGCGAATAAGCTATTGTTTTCGAAATGATTGTATGCGTTTCGTGCTTTGCTAACCAAAGTCAAACAGGCGAACGCCTATGTCCCCGGCTGGGGCCAGACTATCTTCCAGTCCGCCAACGAAATGATGAATAACGATATCTACCGCAAGCGCATGGACGATCAACAAAAGAAATTGGAAGAGGAGCGCCAGTGGTGGAGTAAGAAGAAGACGAGTATCCAAGAGGGATTCATGAAGGAGTTGAATGAGGGCTCGACCGCTTCTACCGACGAGGCTAAGACTACCAACACCACCACCAAATCGTTTGAGGCATCCACGACTCCTGCCGCTGGTAATTCTGTCCAGGGCAGTGATGATGATGCTGTCCTGGTGGAGGCGGACACCTCGAATACCCCTGCTTCTTCGCCAAACGCGAAGAAGAAGAAGGGCAAGGGCAAGAAATAGATATGAATTTCTTTTCCCCCCTGTTACTTGTACTTTTATCTGAGGTTCAAAATACACTCCTTGCTAGTGGTTTTGGGGCTACGGATTCTGCATGAGGAATTTACATTATTATACCAGTTATAGGTTGAATACTCAAAATGAACCTATCAAAGCACCTGTTTTGGTCAAATATACCGTGAGCCGGCCAATTTAAGGCCAAATATCCATGGATAGTTTTACACGGGTTTAGTCACTGGTCGATAAATACCTGAACTTCCAAGGTTCTTTGCTCTGGTCGCCACCGAAGCATATTGTGCATCGATTTAGAGTTGCTGCTATTCTAATGCGAACGTACCTTTCATATTAAAGAAGTCTATTAATCTACTAACATAGCAACCGTTCTATGGCATCCCTCCCACTGGTCTAAGAGGCGTAACCATCTCGTAAAATATGGATATCGGTTTGAGTGAATTGCAGGGCATAGTAGCAGGTTGAACGACAACGTTTAGAAAGGTGATTCAGGCGAAATTATGCCATATTATAGGGTGATTTGACCTTTTTCTATACATATTGCTCTAGTAGACACGCCACCTAGGTAGTGGAGGCTGGGAGCATGGCTAGTAGATAATGGGGATGATATCAAAAGAGGAAATACCAGAAATATGGTAGACCTACATCGATATAAGTACATTAAGTCTAAATACAAAGATAATATACATAGCCCTAGTGATTGGGGGGTGAAACAAACCGCAAAACCGACAAACGCCATGAAATTCCCCCCAATGCAATGGAGAAGCCAAAAATAACTGAGAGAGATGGTTAATGACTGACATGGTCAATCACAAAAGCTTGCTATCGTCTATCCCCAAGGGCGGCCCCAAGTCGATGTGTTCGGCCAACATCTCCTTCGCCGCTACCTCGAGTTTATTTTCGACTTGAACTGGATCCAAGGCATCTGCTCGGCTCATCACGATCCGTAGCAGACTAGTCATGATCTCCAGTTGGTACTGTTCCATCTCACGCGGATCCAGCTGTTCAAGACTCAATCCTTGCAATCGCAGGTTTTCAGCTTTGCGCTCACCCAACAGTTCCAGCAAACGGCTAACTTGGGCAATATTCTCTTTACTCCGTGGTGTCGAAGACAAGCGGCGCAGGCGTCGCTTGGGAGTGTCGGCCGGTACGCCAGCCAGTCGCGCAATTTGGAGAACTATCATGCGGGCGGTGGTCTCATCAGGCGCGAAGCCGAAGGCAGAATGCATGGAGTGTATGACGACCAATGTGCCGGAGACGTCTTTGGAAAGACAGAAACATCGGACAATCTGATCAAATAGAGCCCTAGGCATCTGCGCTTGGGTGGCTTTCTGGGCGCGAGGAGATAAATGGGAGTACCAGGACATCATGTTGGCATAGAGCTGACGTGCCGATGGAAAGCCCGCATCGAAAGCAGTACGTCCACGGTCGTATTGGAGCTTGGCACAGTCCCAGAGGCAGGCATATGTCTCCAGGTCGGGCCGGATGGCGGTAGACATTGTCTGGAACTTGGTCCAGAGTGCTTTCACGTCTTGCTTTCGGAGCTCTGCGTATAGAAGGTGGTTCATAAAGTAAGAGTTCGGCTTGATATGTGCATCCCCAAGACACTTGACCAAGTATTTGACCATGTCGTCGTCACCTCGGCGTGTGTAGTGAAGAAGAAGGATAGAAAAGGTCTCGATGCTCGCAGGCGGGACCTCTCTCTGCATAAACTGAGGCATGCGTACAGATTCTGTCTCCCCGTACTTGACCTGAAGTTGAGGGGAACTCTCGGCTGGTAGATATCGCCTCCATACAACATCGATACGCTTCTGGATCATGGCCCACCCAAGTCGCTCTGCCTTGTGGCGTGCACTCGTGTTCCCATCACGGAGCCAGCCCGCAATGATTCCATTCAAGTGCTTGCTATCAGGCTTCACACACCGCTCATACATAAGTTCAATGACCAGAGCAGCAGAGTCGACCTCGCCCATACCAATCAGTTTCTTCATCCAACTTGCATAGAAAAACCGATTCTGGAACTGACGAGGCAAAACCTTGAGCGCTGACAAAGAGACCTTGTTCACTTCATTTTCGTTGATGCTCGATGCATGAAGATTACCCGCCAGACCCAACGCGGCTTTGTACAAAGCAGTCGAGTCATTGGCCGGGTCTTTTCCCGTCACCATCATATCCTTGAAGATTGCAACTGCAGTATCCAATCGACCAGCCGTGAGAAGAGCAATGCTGATTTGATCATAGTCTTCCATGGTCATATCTGAGCCCAAGAAAGTCTTCAGCTGCAGATAAAGTGCCCAAGCCTTTACTTCAGCTTCCTTCCCAGGCAGCCTTCCCCATGCTGTGATGACAGGGATGAGTACGCGCGGCTGACGAGTTCGGTCGTTTGCCAGAAAAGCCAAAGCAATATCTTGAGCTCGTTGTGGGTTATTGTCTGCAGCAAATAAACGCACTCCGAGCTTCCAGTATTCTTCCAAATCCTCCTTCTTCTGGGACAGCTCAGCTTGATATGCCTCCCATTCCTCCAGTGCAAGGTTGGTGGAGCCACTTTCATGCAGAGATGTGATATAAAACAGGATTTGAGGCGTAGCCAGTTCTTGGCCGATAGATGTAGCGTCCTGGACCAAGATTTGCAAATGTTTTGAGCGTGTAGCCTGATCGGACTCTCCTATTGCCTGTGAATCCCATATTGTTTGGAGTGCCCTCTCCGGCATTATTGTCAAAAATCCTGGAATGGTCTGCTTGCATCGTCGGTACCACTTCCATAAGTCTTGTCGAGCCCGCTCGTCTGACATCTTTTCTTGGAGTCGTTGTAGGGAATTATTGAACTTTATAGCGTAGGGATGAGCCTCTGCCCCTGCACGTTTTGCTGCGGCAGATCGTCTGGCAGCTATTCTTCGCCGATTCTTGACATCATCCTCCCAGTTCTCTTCTTCCATCGCGAGGCCTTCAAACTCCTCTCGGAGCATATCATCAAGCTCTTTGTCGAAAACTTGATCCAGCCCAGGCTCGTCTGCAGGCTTAGGATTTTCCTCGTCAAATTTTCTCAGAGCTTCTAGAGCAATCTTCCGGTCCTCTTCTGGCAAACTCTTGATGAAAGGGCTGTTGGGGGCGAAAGGTCCCTCCTCCAAGACCTTTAACTCATCCTGAAGCTTCGCGAGCTCCTTTTCGACCTCATCTCGCTCCTCCTTATCTTCGGCTTCGGGGTCGATTTTGCGCCGTGTTTTGCTTTCGGGGGATTCTTGTTCGTAGAATGTGACTTTATCGTTCGGTCCGCCAAAATTAAGACGCCGCGGAGCTACGGCGGAGAAGGCCCGGCGTGGAGCGCGTGTCGATGGGCTGCGGGCCACATGCTGACACCATCGGGCTCCTTGAATAGCCTGGCGCAGCATGAAGTCTGAAGTCAATCGGTCATCGAAAACCAGATAAGTTGGAGAAGTGAAGAAGTTGAAGTTCGGAAGAGAACCAATTATCGCCTGATTGGGTTTAGCGCTTGTCGCGCTTCCGCCCTTGAAGTCATCCCCATTTGCGACAAGCAAGTCCTTTCGAGCAGCAGCATGGATGCTGATGGATTGAACGATGCCTTGGGCTTGTCAAATGACAAGTCCCAGAACTTGGTCTGTCTTGAGATCTAACATGATATTTTTGGGCTTACGCGCTAACAAATCATCCCAGGGTGCGTACATCTACCAACCGTCCAAACATGGAAAATCAGCAGGGGAGCGACCTTCGAAGCGACGCAAAGTCTCGTCTACCGCCGGTAGAGACGAGCAGTTTGACCGACAGCGCTTTGTGCCCCTTTTGAACGGAGACGAGAACGCCGAGTCCGTTCAATTGCGACATGATACATATCGGGAGCTCTGGTCGAAGCAAGAAAACAAGATTCAGGTCAGTCAGGCAAATTAATGGGTGGTCATATTGATACATTGCTTACCAGGTCTGAAGGATATCCTCGAGGATGTGGATGCTGGAGTTTTGACGGATGTGTTGTCCTTTGTCAGAGACACCTCACCTCAGACGTACGTCCCTATTCCGATCCGATCCACGAACATGCGTTAACTAGGACCTTAGATGTGATGGATGTATCCCTACGGCTTTAGTGACTGTTGGTTCAAATGTATCCTCGCTCAGCAGATTACTATCGCGGCTTAATGGTCAATTGATATCGACCGAAGAAGGCAGTGTTGTGGTTTTGGAATCAGGCGATGCGCCCAATTTGAAAACGACGTTGAAGAACATTATCCGAGCTGCCGTTACAAATACCGATGGCAATGATGGATATCAAAAGTTCCTCACAGATCGTGCTGTATGTGATCTAATCAAAAACATCCGATTATTGTACTAACTGTTCACCAGGGACCTCGACTCCTAGGTTACGATTTGGACCTTCTTCACGATTATGTACAGAGAAAGGGGACCAAGAAATTAGTCCTGGCTCTTCGAGATAGCGAGGCTTTTGACCCTGGTCTTTTGACCGATCTTTTGTCTCTATTTAAGTGCGATTGACATTCCAAACTTTGGTCGATCCCCTAACTGACCGTCTACTAGATCATGGCTTGACCGTATACCATTTACAGTCTTGCTGGGCATCTCTACCTCTGTAGAGCTGTTCGAAGGCAGACTGCCTCGCTCCTGTGTTGCTCTCCTTCGAGGCAAGCATTTCGAGGTCCAAGAAGCCGGCAACTGTGTCGACCGCATCTATGAGACTCTCCAGACTGACCCAGACACTAATCTTTGGCTGGGTCGCAACGTTACCAGCACTTTGTTTGAGAACACAAGTGACTATTTCCAAAGCCCGGAGGCTTTCAGTCGCATGGTTAAGGTGAGAACTGTCCCAGATACCTTTGACAGTATTCTAATTTATATGTAGTATGCATACATGTCTCATTTCTTCGCAAATCCTCTGGCAGTACTATTAGCCAAGCCAGATTCTACGGTTATCGCCCAAAACAAGCTCTGTGAGGCCGTCAGAAACCTGCCATCATTCCGAATGTAAGGGTCTCCGGTTCTGAAGGTATAACTCAACTAATATGGCTCAAGGTTCTGCGAGGATCTAGTCGAAGAAGGCTCCACCAAGCAAGTCAGAGATATGCTAGAGGATGACAAATATCTTATTCAAGAGACGCCCAAGTACCTGGAGGCAAACCAGCAAAGAATGCGAAACATGTTCCAGGCAGTCCGTGTCATACATGTCTGTCTTCAATACACGCAGAGCGCGAAAAAGGCTAATGTGTCAGACCTTTCTGTTCGCGCACTCTCTGGCGAACTGTCTGAGTCTCCTATTGTGGAAGAAATGATCGCCACGGCGAAGACTCTAGATTCTGACAAGCTTGATGAACTCCTCGTGCGCCTCGGGGCAATAATAACCAACCCAGAAGCCGATACGATTCAAGAAGATCTCAGGGCATTATTGGAAACGTGCTCGGAGTCCGGGCCACTACGCAGTGGATATAATATCAACAGCACCGTCACCAAAACCACTGTCGTCCAGCAGCGTATCCGGCTAAGCAAAGGCCAAGCTGATCTATCGGAACAAGCTGCGGAATATACCAACATCGTTGACCGACTGGTTGCTCTTTTGCAAGTGCATCTCACAGAAAGCCTTATCAACCCACAAGATCTGTTTCTACATGAAGCCTTCTTGTTTGATCTGCGAAACCCGTTAAAGGAAACATTCGCCCCTCGGCCGCGCTTTGCAATCGAACGCGCCCTGGCTACTCCCTTTGATTACCTGCTTTCCTCGTCGGATGTTACTACGGCGAAGGTCTCGGCCAAGCAACCTGCCACCTCGATTCTGTATCAGCTGTACCTTGATTCGGGTGCTCTGGTGAATGTTCATGATCTCTGGCAGGCTTTTTATGGTGTATTTGAGACTGAAGAGGCTGGTAGCTGTGATGACCGAGTCGTGATGTCTCTGTTCTATAGCGCTCTCTCGGAATTGAAGGCGTTTGGTGTGATCAAGAACAGCCGGAAGAAGACTGACCACTTGGCCAAATCAGCATGGATGGGGCTTTAGTTTTATATTGAGGTTCAAATAAATTCGTGACATATCATATTTCTGGCGTGGGGTATCATTGACATAAAAATACAGTAGCTAGCGTTGCAGACAAGTTGAAGATCGTAAAGAGCATGAACTCACCGCGATCAATCAATAGGTCGTTGGATTATGTCGTCATTTCCAATTGGCCGTCCACCGTCGCTCAAAACCATAGCTTCTCTCCTACGTCGGCGAAGTGCCTGCTCTTCGGGACTCCCCTCCTGAAGTCTACGTGAAGGAGTTCGTCCAAAAGATCCACCCGCCTCATCCGCATCTACCATCCACACATCGCTGTCCCCGTCGTCCTCATCGTCATGGTCATTTTCTTCGATCATGCTGCCCATCAGCCCATGTTTCCGCAGCTGCTTGATCCCATCCGGGTGCGAGGAAAGCGAGCTGAAAATTGAGCTCATGACTACGTCATCCGACCACCATGTTTTCATGAGGATCACCACGTCCCGCCGGCGAGAAGGCTCGGCTATTGCACATGGGAATGGATACCTGCAGAGCCATCGGCTGATGATCCCCGCTTCCAATGCGCCTGGTATGTTCTCTGGCAACAAGACATTCAGAATATTCAGAGCCTTCTTCTCTCCCATTGGCCGTGTCTTGGGCAAAATGGGCGAATTAGTCGTAGATGTCTTCTCCACGTGTTCTTCTAGTAGGTTGCAAAGGCAGTTTATGATGGCGGTAAAGGTGGGTACGTCGGCGAGTCGAGAGCAAATCGAGGTTCGAGTGACTGCAGAATAGTATGAACATCCATGTACTGTGAAAATAAAGCGGGTTTGTAGCATACGGGCTCGGTTGGAAACCAAAAAGTTCAATGCATTCAGAGCTCGCCGCTGTTGAACTTTGTTCCTGGATGCAAGTTCCTCCAATAGCAAGTCACGGGTATCTCCCTTGGTAGAACGTTCCGAAATGATGCGCAGGGCCCTGGAGGAATTAGCTGACGCACAGACTGGTTCGAGATGATATTGTTTTAGCGTACGCAGCTCGAAGGTCATGGCTTGTGCTTTGAGAAAGCTTCAAGAGAGTGTCTAACTTGAGGGCTATAGGATTAGTTAGTACAGTATCATATTGGACACAGATATCTGCGCGCCTTCTTCTGTTCCCTCGCTAATGATCTTGTCTTCCTTCTCGACATGTTTGATTTCTGTCAGGTCGACGACTTGACGGAGGTCTGTGGCGATACCGCGTATGGCAAAGAACAGTGAGACGCCTAAATAAGTTAATCATCTGACTGATCTAGCTTCCTTAGGAAAAAGCGACCATACCTAGGCACAGCCATAGCACACCATCCCCGGAAAAGGGAGCCATAGTGGTTGTGGGAGTTGGAGAGATGCGGAGAACACAATCGGCAGAATCTTGATCGGCGCGGCCGCGGAGGCGGTGTACTTGATTTTTTTGAGAATAATCACGACGCAGAAAAAAATAACTCCCACTCTCGAATTCAAAGCCAGCCACACAAAATGCCGCCTTCTCAGCTAAAGCAGCTGAAGGCTTCCCCTCCGTGAAAATGGGGTTCTTGGTCCTCAGAAGTCCAAGAAAGAAAAACGACAAAATGCGAAGACCGGAGTCGGTGCGAAGAATCGCAACCAGCGCGAGATCGCTTTGCAAGCCATTCGAGATCGGTTCAACCCTTTCGAGATCAAAACGATAAACAAGTCAAACAAGTTCGATGTCACGACTAGAGATGGTAATACGACCGCTGGAGGTGGCGCTCGCCCAGGTGTTACTAAATCACTGGGTGAAGAAAGAGTAGGTTTATCTGCTTTCCTCAAGTATTACGATTATAAAGCTGACTTTAATTAGCGACGCGCCACTCTTCTGAAAGAAATGAACAGCCGGAACAAGGTTGGTGGACTTGTCGATCGCCGGTTCGGTGAGAATGATCCCACCATGACACCCGAGGAACGGGCCGCCGAAAGATTTGCGAGAGAGAGCCAGAGAAAGATGCGGAAGGAGTCCATGTTCAACCTCGAGGATGATGATGATGAGATGCAGCTTACTCACATGGGTCAATCTTTGTCGTTCGATGGACCAAACCAAGACGACTTTGAGGCCGGAGACTTGGAGGATGCGGAATCCGACGAGGAAACGTCACGGAAACGGAAGCGAATCGCCGATGACGATGAGAATCAGGATCAGGATCAGGAGGACTTCATCGACTACGGAGACGAAGAACAGCCAGGGCGCAAAAAGACCAAGGCCGAGGTCATGAAAGAAGTCATTGCCAAGTCTAAGTTCTACAAAGCGGAACGGCAACAGGCCAAAGATGATGATGAAGACCTACGCGAAGAATTGGACAAGGAACTTCCTGATCTTTTCGAGGCTCTGCGAGGCATTAAGCCTTCAGCCAAGCCAGCCAAACCCGAGGCACCGAAGCAGGATTTCTCAGAAATGAACCCAGAGCGTGCTGCCATGCTTGAAGAGTCGCAAAACAGCAAGGATCCAGAAAAGGAATACGATCAACGCCTCAGGCAGATGACATTCGATCAGCGATCAAAACCCACAGATCGCACGAAGACCGAAGAGGAGAAGGCGGAGGAAGAGGCTGAACGGCTCAAGAAACTTGAGAACGATCGCCTTCGACGAATGCGTGGAGAGCAACTCACTGACGATGAGGAGGACAATATGGATGAGGACAAGATTCTCGATGATGACGAGTCGGAAATTGATGATGCTACGCATTTCGGTCTTCCAGCTTACCCTACTGAACCACGCCCCGAGCTCGGCGTTGAAGATGAAGATGATTTCATCATTGACGAAGATCTTGTCGAGACAAATTCAAATGCCAGCCTCGACATGGGCGACAGTGACATGGAAGAGGAGGAAGATTCGTCGAGCGATGAGTCTGACGGACCAGATGGTGAGGACGAGCTCATCAACGGAATGACGCTACCGGCAGAGGATTCCGCTGCCGCTTCGACTGTTGCTGAGGTTAGCAAAGAAGCGAACGGAAAGCTCGCATTCACCTATCCTTGTCCAAAGGACCACGAAAGCTTCCTGAGTATCACAAAGAACGTGGCTGTCGAAGAGATCCCGACAGTCATCCAACGCATTCGAGCATTGCATCATCCCCGGCTTAAGCCTGGCAACAAGGACAAGCTTGGCCGATTTGCTGAAATCCTCGTTGAACATGTTTCTTACATGGGTAACAAGACAGAGCAGCCTCCATTTGCCATTCTGGAGAATATCATTCGTCACATCCATTCTTTGGCTAAGACCCATCCTTTGAATGTGACAATCGCGTGTCGAGCTCAACTTCGTGAGATTGGCAAGGAACGCCCACTCAATCTGCTGCCGGGTGACCTCATCTTGCTTACCGGTCTCTCGACCTTCTTCCCCACATCAGATCACTTCCATACCACAGCCACACCCGCTCATCTCTGCCTGGCGCGGTACCTGGGCCAGTGCACCACCACCTCGCTAGCGGACCTTGCAAGTGGTACATTCGCCGCAAGTCTTTGCCTCCAATATCAACAGGCCTCGAAGAGATATATGCCCGAGTTTGTCAATTACACTCTAAATGCTCTTTGCAATCTTGCACCTACGGAGCCGACTGCGAAGTTTGGAGCCTTCCCCTACAGAAAGTCCCAGGAATCTCTTCAGCTCGTGCCCTCCAGGAAGGTCACACCTCGCAAGCTGCAATTCCGCGATGTAACCACCTCTCCTTCTGATCCTCAGGCACAGGAGGAGCTGAAGATCTCCCTCCTCACCACTCTCGTGTCTCTCCTTGGTTCCGCTTCCGATATTTGGGCCGAGAAATCTGCTTTCACCGAGATTTTCACCCCGGTCCGCGCCGTTCTGCAGTACCTCCGCCAATCCCTCAAGGCCAAGGTATATGCAGCAGCCCAGGAGCCCATCCAGAGCACCCTGGATAAGATCGATTCCCACCTCGCACAGGCTCGTCTCGTTCGTCGCCCGTTGTTCCTGCACGACCACAAACCCCTAGCCATCAAGACAGCCATTCCGAAGTTCGAGGAGAACTTCAACCCAGACAAGCACTACGATCCAGACCGCGAGCGTGCCGAGTCCAACCGCCTCAAGAAGGAGTTCAAGCGCGAGCGCAAGGGCGCCATGCGCGAGCTGCGCAAGGATGCCAGCTTCGTTGCCCGCGAGCAGCTGCGCGAGAAGAAGGAGCGCGACGCCGAGTACGAGAAGAAGTACAAGCGTCTTGTTGCGGAGATTCAGAGCCAGGAAGGCCGTGCTGCCAACGAGTACGAGCGGGCGCGTGGCAGGCGGTAATCTTGCATCCCAACTTCTGTTCCACGTCTTTTTTTCATATATCACACTCGGTTGTGCGTCCTGTTGGACTGGTATATACATCATTGTTTATCTGGCGTAAGGCTGGTAATAAAAAGTCAAGTTCATCGAGATATCCGAGGGAGTGGATTAATCCAAAGTAGAGCAAGGATATTCAGTTTCATTTGCTTCCAAGAGATATGTACGTATACTATATACTACTGCTTCAAATCAATACCGATGCTAGTCAAGTATTCACATCGGCTTCTCTGTCCCTGTGGCACCGTCTCCATCTTGGTCTGGTTGGTCCGAATGAAGATCCGCTGGTATCCATCACCACCTTGACCCCAAGTCTGCCATTTCAGACTGGAAGGAAGACGTTTGGTGTTCGGGTCCAGAGACGTAATGAAGCTTGTCCAGTAACCCTGCATCACGGGCACGATGCCTGCGTTGGTGGTGTAGTACGAAGCTGGAGCTTTCTTGTTAGTATTGGTCGGACCCCAGATCGCATTCACTTCGACGGTGTGTGGTGTGCCCACTCCTGAGCTCTCGTCGGCGGGGTCCTGAACTGCGTAGTGGTAGTTCCAGCTTGGGACACCTGCCGCTGCGTAAATAGAAGACAAGTCAATTCCGGGACAGATGTAGCGCATTTCACCGTACGCCGTGCTTGCCGGCCGCCAGTAGGACCCAGCACCAGGGAATTCCTTCGTCTGGTCTGGAGTAAGATATATACTGTTGATCCTGTCAAGATGGTCCCGTGTTATTGCTGGAAATTGGTTCTGGATGAACGTGTCTGCCTCGTCGACACTAGAGGTGCTCTTGGGAACGAATTTCGTGCCTTCGTTGGTATCATCGCCAAATATCACTGGTACCTTGATGAATTTGCCTTCTTGGAAGAGGCGGTAGGTGTAGTCTGGCACCAGGTCCTCGTCAACTGTGGGACCATACAGGTATAACGGCTTCCCTTTTGCTCCTGGGTGGGGTCTGTTGACGTTCTTCTGTTGCAAAGCATTGACATCGAGGTTGCGCAGACATGCCAGGGTATTTTGACTACTGTCACATGCAGTCGCAGTTACCAGTGCGTCGTATGCGAATTGACTTTCGGTGACGTTGAGCATCTGCGCAAAGCTCTGTGACTCTGCAGCTGCTGCAACAAACAGACCTTCATCTTTACCACCGTATGCGGAGAGCATGAGAGTCACCGAGGCAGCACCTGCACTACTACCACCAATAACAACATGTTTGGGATCTCCACCAAACTAGAAACAGTGTCAAAACGAGATACCAAACGAAGCCAGGAGAAAAACGAGGAATAATTGGCGACTTGACCTACTTTGCTGATATGCTCCTGAACCCACTTCAGGGCCTTGCGTTGGTCTTTCAGACCATTGTTCAGACTGGCTCCTTTTTCAATCTCTTCTCCGGCAAGGAATCCGTAAGGTCCAACCCGATAGTTGAAAGTGACCACCACCATATTGTTTCCGGATGCCTTGATCAACCCAGTGCCGTCATAGTTGGCATTTGAATTGGCAGCAAAGCCTCCTCCTTGGATCCAAAAGAAGACAGGCAGTTTCTTTGAACCTTTTGCTGCAGCTGCGGGGGGCATATATATCAAGGAATAGACAGTCCTCTGAAGTTCCTACTGGGACTGCCCGGCCTTCACTTCCTGCTGTGGGGATGCATATACTTCCATGCTAGCAATGAATGGTCAGTAGCCACCTTTGGATAATTCAAGATAATAGATGCATACCTCAGTTGCTTGCTGTATTCCCTCGACAGACAAAGGATCCTGCGGGGCAGCAAATCGCAGATCTCCTACAGGAGGAGCAGCAAACCGCATGCCAAGCCACTGTGTGACTCCGGTGGATAGGGTATGACCCTCATAGCGAGCATAGCCCAGGTCTACCACTGTAGAAGCGGATGCTAGGGATAGCAAAAAGCAGATATACAAGAAAATAGCCATAGTGACCGACGATCTGATTGTGAACCGGTCGATGCCATGGCTTATAAAGGGCCCCGCGGACACAAAAGAAAAGCCGACCCTTGACCATCGAAGTCACGGTGACAACGCACAGAACTCAGCTACTGGAGGGTAATACGAGGACAAAGCCCTTGCGCCACTGTTGCTTCATTGAGATATGCATATAGACGCTTGCGGGGACCTATCACACGTGCAGCAAGGAATCTGTACGGGGAAGAACAGCGTCCATAGAAAATATTATGGGTGTATCTAGCGGTCAGCAGACTACTCGGCCTCAGAAGTAGGTATTAGGAAGGGAAATCCATTAGGTGCCCAAGTGCTCCTAGAAAGTGCCACTATGTAGTCATCTACACTTTGTACTCAATTTTTGTAAGATAAGACATTGAAAGACATCTGAAACCATCCAGTCTCAACGTCTTAAACAAAGACAGAGGGGTTGTGCTCTGCATATACAACAGGGTAGATACCAAGTTTCTTTGTTTCTATTAAAGGGTTTAATCCAATATTCTACTGTTATAGAACAGGCCAAAGATGTATTCTGTACTCTATACCAAATAATATCAAATAATATACAGATTAATAGATTAATAGTGTACAACATACCTAGGTAGTATATAATAGAGCCTCATCCTGGGATTAATTAAATGGGTGAGCCCCACTGTTCCCCGCAAAATCCCAAAGCGGTGTCTTTGTCCGCCTGCGGGTCTCTCTCTCTCTCTACTCTCTCTCTCTCTTTTTCTTTACTAGACCATACACTGATGCTTGGCAACCGAAACAATGGCCTCAGAAGATGAAGAAGACGACTACATGAATATGGTCATTGAGGAGCCCACCCAAAAGGAGACCTTCACACAAAAAAAGCGCCGGGAACTACGAGAGGTACCGTATCCTCCACATTCTAACATATCTGTCTCCGGCTGAATTCCAACTAACATTCTTTTTCCATATGCAGGCCGAAGCCCGAGGCCGAGTCCCATCCAAAGCCGAACGCGCCGCTCGGGAAGCCGCCCGCCGAGAGGAAGCCTTGGCCAGAAGCACTCTCAACCCCAATAACAAAGGATTCCAAATGATGGCAAAGCTTGGGTTCAAACCCGGTGATGTGCTTGGCAAACCTGCTACACCCAGCGATTCTGACACTACCAACACCGACTCTTCCCTAAAGGCGCGCGCTGAGCCGCTGAACTTAACCTTGAAGAAAAACCGTGGTGGAATCGGGTTGGACACGGAAAAGAAGCGCAAGCTCCGTGAGGAAGCAGAAGAAGCAGCAAAGAGAATAAAACATGAGGAGGGGACTTACCGGGATCGCGTTCGTGAAGAGCGCGAGTTGAGACGCATCGAAGCGCAGGTGCGCGCTGCGCAGAAAGTTGCAGAGAGGCTGGATGCGGAATTGGAGAGTGGGGCAACCGCCGAAGAGAAAGAACAAGGAACAGGGTCCTCGGCCGAATCCAACAAAGAAGGTGACTCCGCAGATCCTGGTCAACCACGCGACGGACCCGACGCAGCGACAAAGAAGAAGCCAATCAAGCCCACGTCCCAAATCAACGTACTCTACCGCGGTCTTATCCGTGAGCGCGAACGGAACGACAGTGACCGCCAGGCACGCCATGCTCTCCAATCCTCACTCCCTTCATCATTTTTCCCTAAAGCACGGCTACCAGAGTACGATGATCCGACTATGGACCGGGAAGATAAAAAGGCGCTTAGTAGTGAACTGGATCCGAATACCTCCACACTGGAGATAGAGCTGGAAGAGGATGACGAGGAGCTTGATGCCTTCAATGCGCTAGAGCCAGCTGAGCGGTTACACAAGCTGGTTCTCTTTCTGCGGGAGACATATCGGTATTGTTTCTGGTGTAAATATGCCTACGAAACCGATCTTGAGCTGGAAGGGTGCCCTGGCCTGACCGAGGAGGATCATGATTGAACCGTTTGTATGATATGGGAATAGTCTTGGCCCAGCAATCAGCTGACGATTTCTTACGAATTTGTATCTCTACGAAAGGCACGAAAGAAAAAGAAAAGAAGAAAAAGAAAACAATAACATGCAGCTCCGGTCCTCCTGGCTAAACCATAATATACAGGTCCCTTGGTATCATAAAAAAAGGTATACAAAATACAGATAAGAAGGGCAAAAAAGGAAAATGTAACTAACAGCCTTAACAGGAACTTTACTCCCTGCGCAAGAGATCATGCAAATATATGTCGAGATCATTCATGCCCATCACAACCATATCAACACCTTAAATCGAAAAGGATATCAACAAATCAAGCGACAATTCGATCAACCAGCTCCTCGACCGAACGATTCTTGCATTTCTGCAGGGTCTGGTAGCACGACTCGCAGATGCGCAGACAGCAGAACACACAGCGGTGCCGAATCTCAATGTCGAATTTCTGACAGGTCATGCACGGCATTGGACACCACGTATTCTGCGCCACGGGCATGGCGCGGTGCTGCTGGTAGCATGTGAGGTGGATCTCGTTCAACTTCGGCGCCACGGGTTCAACATCCGGAGGGACAAAGGGTGAGGGGGCCAGCTCCTCGCGTGGCTGTTCTGGCACTGCTGGCGGTTCAGCGCTTTCTGGGGTCGGGATGAACCCTTCCAATTGGGGGGAGTTGGCCTCGTCGGCTGGAGCTGGATCCTGGACTATGGTCGGGACTTGGGGCGGGACTTGGGGCGGGGAAGAGGGTGTCATTGGAGTTGGCTGTTGCAGCGGATGGAAATCGGGCTGTGATTTCTTGGTTCGCATGCCTGTCGTCCGAGGGGGAGACTCCGTTGGGACGGGGACCCGTTGAATTGGGCGTCGTTCTGGGACTTCATTTTGGGGGATCGGAAGGAAGTATGGGTTGTCCGATGAGGCTGGAATGTCCACTTTCGGGGGAAGTGGGAGTTCCTTGTCCGGTGGAGGGGCCGGCTTTGGTGGTGGAGGGGCAGGGAAGGCTGCCGGTTTAGGCGAGGTTGACTCGTCGGATGGCACCGAATCGGACGATTTCTTTAGGGAGAATTGCGATTTCGTTGCTGAAGACTTCAGTGCTGTAAGAGATGGCACACGAAGGCCGCGAGGGCGCTTCTCTGAGTCGAAGATGGCCATATTCCTATATATCTGAATATCCAAAATGAATATTAAAAAAAAAAAGAAGGGAGACAAGTAATTTAAGGAGAAAAGAATGAGAAGAGATGGAAAAAATTAAGAGATCGAATAAAATTTGGCGCTGAATCCACTCAATAAATTGTTAGCCGATCCAGTCATTTGCAGATAAGAAGGTAATCCCATATTAGAAGGACTAAAAGGACTAAAAGGAGGAGGACTATCCTATTATATCCTATTAAACCGCATTCCCCAAATTGATCGGATCTATTGGTTGACGATCAATCTGGTCGGTTTCAGATAGTGGGGATGGGATCGGTAAATAATAGATCTATCGACTTATAAGATTATAAGTTCAGGGGTAATATCATCCAGATGTCTGTTAGAACCGAATACGGAGTACAGAGTACAGAGTACTATATTTTACATATATGTACTCCGTACTCGTACAGACTACTACATTCTTACTGATATCATATCGATCGTCCTATTCCCGCATCCATCAGTCTCAAATTCCCAATGTCATCCCTACATATGCACGTTAATTAAAGTTACATGTCGAATCTCCGATATTTCAGATCTCTCATTATTTTCAAAATCATTTCAAAATCATTTCATATCATTTTATATTTAGCGATCGGCTTCAGCAACGGGTATATACGACCTGCGTTCTCGTGCAGCCTAAATCAGTTAGTCTTGCCCAGGCATTGGCATTGGCATTGGCTTACCTCGACATATCGCTCAATCCATGGCTTACACGCTGCCCAAACCAGCAGTCCACATGTAGCAAAAATAAAGATAAACACCACCGTCTGGTCTTTCCGTGAATCTCGCTCTATCCCAGACCCGTCAGCACATCTGTTATAACATCCAATCCAGGTTCCTATTAGCTCCACTTACGGAAGCAAGTCGTGTACACATCTTCCTCCTTGGCGCCTTTGCATGTCGGTAACTCGTAGTCGAGACAGAACTTGCGATTGCAATCATTGCAATTCAGGGATCGGTATTTCTCAGCTCGTTTACTGTATTCATCGGTATGCTCAAGCTCGGAGCTGAGAAAGCGGCGCTCATCAAAGCGGACGTGGTCGATGCCGGAGGAGGTTTCGGACTTGGAGGGATTGAGGGGGATGATCGTACTATTAGAGAAACAGGTGCATTTGCAGAAGGAGGTTGGCGCTGTAGGAATTGAGTATTAGTATCACACAAAATATTGACGCGATGGGAGGTAGCATTTCCATCTCCCCTGTGGCGCTTTAAGAGGCATCGGAGAAAAGAGGCTAGCACTTACTGGATGCTGCTACCAACGATGTGAGAGACAAAGATGCGAAGAGAAGCAGCAGCAGCTGTATGCTACGCTGTGAGGACCAGGTAGAAAACATCCTGGGCACGCAGTGGACGATGCGACAAGTCCTGGTTTGGCTTGGGTTTAATGACGATGGATGCGGGTCACATGACTACGTACGCAATCCAACAAAGCCCAAGGAGCGAAAGATGCCTGGAGGGTTCTGATATTTATGCTTTTTAAATTTGTGTTTCTTCGAAGGCAGTGGGTTTAAATTACATGGTATTTGTGTCGTCGGAAGGCTACTGGCAGCCTCGTTTTATGTATAAGCACCACATCAGACCTCGGGAGTCTATATTGTAAACACACATCGCTCAACCTCCCCGAAGACTGGGTCTCGAATTTATGACTTCCCCTTGATCCCCTTCTTCCGGCTGTCTCTCTGTCTCTGTTCCTTGGCAGCATCACGTCGCCTCTTCTTCCAGGCTCGATTGTTGTCACCGCGATTCTCCCAGAACCACTTTGCGAATTCGGTTTCCTCCATGCTGGCCCCGGCTTCACCGCGAGCTTTCTTCACAGGGCTGTCGATCGAAACGTCCTCATCCGAGTCCTCACTCTCGTTCCACGTCATGTGGCGGGTGGCCGCACTAGTGTCGGGGGTGGGAGCTGCGCTGCGCTGACCTCGATGTTGCAGGTCATTCTTCGTGAAGGGTGTGAAGGGTGTCTGCGGCTCAGCCAATTGAGGCTCGTCCTCGGATTCAATGTCATTACCAAAGAAGCTGAATCCAGTCTCGGCTTCGGGAGCTGGCTGGTTATCGGATGCTGTCGGGGCCCGTTTGAAAAGAGCTTCAAGAGGGTGGACTTCCTTGGCAGATGAATCTTGTTCCACCTCTTGCGTAGCCTCGGTAGGCATCTCAACCGATTCTGACCGGCTCGGTGCATCAGTATCGGTGCCGTTAGCCTCTGTAGGCTTGGTGGTCTCTTCTTGGGACTGCGGCTTGACATCCTCCTCGTCAGAAGACGATGAATCTTCAGGGTCCTCGCCCGCCTTCTCCTCCACCTCACTCTCCGAGTCACTGCTCTCGTCTGAAGACGAGCCACTCGATGAGGTATAATCTTCAGACTCGGAAGATTCCTCTGGAGTCTTTTCTTTGCGTGAACGCTTTTTCATATCTTTGGCGGCCGATTTGGCAGCTCGGCGCTTCTCCTTGGCCCCGGGAATCTGACCAGGCCGATAATTATCCTTCGAGATCTTCTCACTGGCGGGTTCTCTCACATTTCCGGCAGCATCTACCCAACCTTTTCCATCCTCAAATGTAGCCGTAGGTGCTGCGCTTTCCTCCGCGGTGCGCAGGAAGCTTGGATGGGCCACCGTTTTCTCAAATTCATGGATGACATTATCCTTAGACTTCTTCTTCTTCTTTGCTTTCTTATCATCGGAAGCTGTGTCGGAAGCTCGGTTGGGTGGGATCGTTGCTCGGAACAGGCATTCGGATTTGTCGGTGTACTTGGACTTGGGTTGCAATTTCTCCTCCTTGCTCTTCTTCTCTTTCTTCTCTGACTTTCGTCTTTCCTGCTTGGCGTCACCGGACTCGGTCCAGCCTCGTTTCACTTTGCGGTCTGCAGGAAGCTCAAAGCCTTCTACTACACCGTCCTCGGGCGCTTGCTTCTTGGACTTCTTGGACTTCTTCTTGGCACTAGAGGGCGCTTCAGGCACCACATCCTCTTCCTCCCGGTGTCTCTTTTGAGGGCGGGCCGCTTCCACTTTGAACTTCTTGCCCTTGAGGATCGAGCCGTTCAACTTCTTCTTGATCTTCTCCGCTTCCATGTTTGGCAGAGTCACGTATCCGTAGTTATTCTCTGGGAAGGTGGTAATCTCGTGGAAAGATATGTCTGTGGCCAAGTTGCGAATAGATGCTGGTAGCACAGACGGAAGGATATCCTGGGTGAAAGGCGTGATATGCAGTCTGGTCGTTTCAGTCATTGCCAGAGGATTCTTGGTAGGAGTGAGAATGAGTAGGGCTATCACTAATGCATGACCTGTGAGGATGTCAAGGTTTTCAAAATAAAATTTGAGAAGATTCCCAAGCTTCAACACTCGATCTTTTTTTTCTTTGGCAAAAATAATGTATCTTTGATTTTATGCCACCGCCTTTTCACGTATGGATGTCTATTGGCTGAGAAGGTTCCGAGGTTGATCAAAATGTTGGCCTTAATTCTTGGCCTGAATTGGCCTGAATTGCCTGAATTGTGTCTACCCAAAGTTCAGTAACTAATAACTATTGTACATGTACCTAATGACTTCATCTCCCTACAGTGCATTAAGTTAATATTTTTGAGATCTGCAGGTAAAAGTAATATCCTATGATGTATACATTGATCAAAGTAGAGAGTATAATCTGCCCATGACTTGACAATGACGATGGATCAACTGATGATGGGGACAAAGCTTGTTATTTACATACGTAAACCTGTTTATATCCGATATTCATACTGTAGATGTGGTATATATACATATGCTGTATGTTGTTGTGTTAAGAACTAAGAATATATAGTAATTCACTTAGTCTAGGCCTTTTATGAGATACCTAGGTAAAACAGCCATACTTACCTAGACACCTAAAGGGTCTTCTTTTTTTGTCAAGAAAAGGAAAAGAAAAAATATCAAAAATATCAAAATATCAAAAATTACATCCGCCACATCCGATATTTCTTTTCTATTTGAATCTGTAAACATTCTTTGATATCTTTTGGGCTGGGGTTATGTAGAAATTCCTCACCGATCTCACTTCCCCAGTTACTCCGGACAGATCACAAACCCCCCCCCGCTCTGAAAGTTACTCCTCTTACCTCCACTCTTCTCTCCATCTTAATCTTCCCAACTTTCTTACTCCCCCATTTCATTTACCCTTTCTAACTGTCCACCCCCAAATACATCCCCCCCCTTGGGGGCCCTTTCCGCCATATCCGGGAGTTATCACCGTGACTTGTCGGAACTGTGCATTAACATCATATCATCCATTTCCTTTTCCTTTCACTGCATCCATCTCCAAGCTCTAATATGGGAACTCCCAGACCAAGGAGTCACGCTCCACAGCCCCGTCAAGCCGTCGAAGTCATCAATTATCCCCGGGCGCTTCCGACGCCTCAAGTCGGCCATATCAAGGTTCTCGATCAGCAAGAGGCAGTAGGCCTGATCTTTCGATCCTTGGAATCGGCAGCAGTCATGATCGAGACGTGGCCACATTGGAACATCGGCGGGAGACAAAACAAGAGCGCGAGGCCCGTCGCTTGGAGAAGGAACGGGTGGCTCGGCTCAAAGAGAGGGAGCGCAGCATGAAGGAGGAGCACGTCGATGGAGGCTATCTCGTAACACAGGGTGTGTATGTGGGGACAGAAGACTACAATAAGGCAGTGGTGCGCCAACTGATGGTAGGTTTGCCTAGAATCGCCCTCGATACGAATTAGCCAAGGCTGACAGCGGGCTAGATTGAACGCCGACTGGCTCCCTTCTGGAGAGGTCTTAATGATTTCTCAGAGTCGTGGGCTGAGCATCAGATTATGGCGGCTGCACGAGGCATGCCCATTCCCCCGCCCGATGAGATCCCGCCCGAGTTAGAGTACAAGTTATCCAAGATCCCAGACACAGCCTCGGCCGATCCGACAAATATCCAGCATCTGACAGTGCCGATCACATCCAGATCGCAATCTTATAATTCAG